TCCCAAGATGTCAAAACTGGAAGGGTCCCTAGAGACGAACTGCCCCATTTTACCAAAGGGAAAACTGAAATCCAAGAGGCCATATGAGTTACCCAGGTCCCAGAATGAGCTCTGTACAGGCTTGCTGCATTCGCGGCCCAGCTGTCTACACTGCAAGCTCTACACAGGCTTGCCTTATTCACGGCCCAAGTGTCTACACTGTGCCTGAAGGGCTTCTACTTATTGGATGGGGGTGGAGGGAGGTTCCAATGGCTGAGTTCACCTCCCTTCTCCTCCTGCAGGTTAGTGATCGCTTCTTCCCGTACAGCACCATCAGAACTGATGCCATCCTCAGCCTTGATGCCCGCAGCAGTCTTTCCACAAGTGAGGTGAGGGCTGGGCCCCAGAGAAGCCCAGTGTGGGTAGACACAGAGCCAGAGGGCCCTGGCAGTCCCTCAAGTTCCCAGAGTTGGGGAGACCCCAGGTCCTGAGGTCCAGCCTCTTGAATTTGAAGCCACCCCAGCAAGCCAGGCAGCCCTCTCTTTAGGAGTCTTGAGGCTTTCCATGAACTCGTTTGAGAACATTGTTTCTGGGCCCCCTGGAAGCTTTCATGCCACACTGCCAGCCAATTCCAAGCCATGGCTCCCGTCTCCTCTCCCCTGAGTCCTGTCCTGGCCCTCAGCCAGGCTGGCCCTGCCTCCATTTCTCTGGATGTCCTAGGTATTTAGGAGGTCCTTCCTCACAGCTTACTTGAGTCCCTCTCCAGGTGGACTTTGCCTTTGTGGTGTGGCAGAGCTTCCCGGAGCGGATGGTGGGCTTCCTGACATCGAGCCATTTCTGGGACGAGGCCCACGGTGGCTGGGGCTACACTGCTAAGAGGACAAATGAATTTTCCATGGTCCTCACCATGGCTGCCTTCTACCATAGGTACAGACCCTCACCCTGCAAAGGGATCAGAGGATCAGAGACCCCCCCTACCCCGAACCAGGAGCAGGTGGCTCAGGCTGAACCCCAGGGATCCAGGCTCAAGGCCCAGATCTGCCACTTCCTAGTTGTGGGATCCTGGGAAAATCTCCTCACTTCTTTAGTTTGTTTCCTCATCTGTAAAATGGGATGGACTCACCCCTCAGGGCTGCTGTGATCATTAAATGAAGTCCCTGGCACACAGAGGTTCCACAAATGGTAACAATGGTTATTTTAAGTAAAGCCATGGAGTGAACAAGGGCAGTGTGTGGGTTTTCTGGTGGTGGGGTGACAAGAGAATAGTCCCGATGCCTTATAAATGTGGATGTGATGGGTTGGGGACCATCCCAGACCTTCCAGAAGCTGCCTGAAGTGCTCAGTCTTGGGGTAGGGACTGAATTCTGCAGGACCTCTTTAGAGAGGTTCCTTAAACATGTTTAAATCAAATATGCATAACCTGGAGCCTCTTGTAGAGTACCCAGGAGTTCTTCAGGGAATTCTCAGTAGAGTGAAGAATAATCGAATGTCTGCAAGGTGAGGTTGGCCTGTCTGAGGGCCGTGTGAAGTGAGGCTCACCCAGAGCAGCATCAGCCTGGTTCATCCACAACTTGTCTTTGGGCTGCCATGTTTGATAGCTTTGAAACCAGCTGATCCCAGCCCACCTAATTCTGGCTCTGTCTGAGTTCAGAACTCAGAGCCCAAGGATGGGGGCCCCAAGGAGCTGTGGGGGAGAGGGCAGGGAACACACCACTGGCTGCAGATGAGCCCTGGGCACAGCACAGTGGAGAGCTGTTTATGCCAGGGATGGGAACTCTCGGAGGCAGCCAGGGCTCAGAGGCTTGGGGATGGAAGGGAGAGGTGAAGTCAGAGGGGAGGAGAATGGGGCATGGGGATGAATTTTTCTGCAGTCTCTCCCTGTCCTTTCCCCTTGTCCAGGTATTACCACACTCTCTTTACCCACTCCCTGCCCAAGGCTCTGAGGACCCTGGCAGATGAGGCACCCACCTGTGTGGACGTCCTGATGAATTTCCTAGTAGCGGCAGTCACCAAGCTGCCCCCTATCAAGGTTCCTTATGCCAAGCAGCGCCAGGAGGCTGCTTCACTGGTGAGGGCTGAGGGGGACTGGTTGGAACTGGCGGGGATGGCGGGGAGGATTCCCTCTCACTTGTCTAATTCTAGTCTCTCTTGCTGCACGGGCGTGGGAGTTTGGAAAGGCAGAGAAGGCCATTAACGCATTGCTTCTGTCCCTGTTAGGTGCCTGGGGGCCCGGAGACCAGGCCAAAGCTGCAGGCCCCAGACCCCAACTGCATCAACCAGATAGCGGCAGCGTTCGGCCACATGCCCTTGCGGTCCTCTCGTCTGCGTCTGGACCCGGTGCTCTTCAAGGACCCGGTGTCCGTGCAGCGCAAGAAGTACCGCAGTCTGGAGAAGCCCTAGGGGGCGACTCGCAGAGACCCCAGCGGAGGTCCCAGCCCTGCTCCCAGAGGGCGCGGCACCTATCTGCGGGCTCCGCCCAGGGACACCGGAAAACCAATCATGGCAGCCGGAGGGCCTACACGTCGGGCCCCGGTTGGCCAATTACAGCAGGGGGTGTGGCCTTACCTTCTCCCGCCAGCCCTCGGAGGCGGAGCCTCTACTGAGGCCGAGCACCGTGCCTGGAGCGCGGCTCTGCTTCTTCGCCCAGCTGACTTCTGCTTGTCTTTCAGAGCATCGCCTCCTCCAGGGACTTGCCTCGCCCTGCTCCCCGACCCCGATGGGTTGGGTCTCCTTGGCACTGTCACAACCCAGTGTTTGCCGCGGTCCCGCCCGGTCAGGTCCCAGGACTGGCTTGCGGGCTCGGGGGAGCGGGTCGTGTCGTGTCCTTTTCTCTCTGTTCTGGCAGGTGTGCCGCAAATATTTGACGAATGGATGGATGGCAGACATTAACTGCGTGCCTGCCCCGATGCGGGTGGCGGCGGGACAGTGTGAGCGGAGAGACAGAATTCTCCCCATCCAGGGTTTCTAGTCCCGGGAAGGCAGCTACCCAAAGACGACTGCATTGCCAGGCTCAATCCTTGAGCCTCGGCCAAGGAGCAGAAGGGTGCGGGTAAACGAGGAGTGGGGTGAGGAAAGCGGGATGGGAACAAGTGGCCGTCCCCCGTCCGGCGCGCGCCCGCGGCTCAACCTGGGTCGTCTGCCCTGCACTACCAACGCCGACCACTAGAGGTCAGCGCCGCGCCGCACTCCACACCTGCAGGGCAGAGGGCTGCCGGGGACGTGGAGGGTGAGCGCTGTGGGCAGCTGGGGGTCTGAAATCTGGGGAGAGGAATCTGAAGAACAGTCCCATCTCTTTGGCCTGAACACTTGGAACTCAGTAAGAAGGGACTGTTTCTGGGTGGGCTGAGCGCGAGTGGGGACTGCCCCGAGCAGGGACTACAGTTGAGGATGGAATGGGGGCAGGGACACTAGGTCCTCCCAGGTTCACCCACCTGGAACTGGAATTATCACTTCCGAAATAAAGCGCATGTCCTTGCCCCCTCATGCTCCAGGCTATAAATACCCTTACAGCAGCTGCTGGAGGGAGGGGCTCAGGGCTCAGGGCTTGCCTGGGAGCAGGGTTGACTCCAGAGGGTGAGGGTGGCAGGTCCAGCCCAGGTCCAGGGTGTCAGGTGTTTTCCTGCTTTGATGGCCTCGAAGCTCTGGAAACTCCCGTGACTGGCTCACCGGCAGGAACATGCTGTCCCCTTAGGCCTCTCCAAGGCCTTCCACCCCCACCCCCCAGCTGGACATAGGGCCCCTGGATGACTCAGATCCTCCCTGGAGCCAATCACAGCTGAGTGGTAGAGTGGGTCACCCTTGGGAGGCGTGGTGCTGTGAGATGCTTGAGCTACAGGGAGGACTGGAAATGAAAGCGGTGGGGGAGAGGCAGTCTAGGCCGGAGTCAAGAACTCAGGGTGGGTGAGAAAGCATACAGCTGCGGCCCAGGCAGCCTTCCCAGGGTGGGGAGGGCACTGGCTGCCGGGTCCAGGCAGGGAAAAGAGGCACCTTTCCAATCACAGCTGTGACACCCAGGACACTGAACTGCCTTGGCATGGCCTTGCCAGTGGATCAGGCACTGCTGGACCCAAGGGTTCGTATTGTATCAACATGCAGCCCAGACCAGGCCCCCGGCCCCTGCTGTAAAGGTCTAGGGGAATAAAGCAGAAATCCCACACCTGCCCACACTGGCTGAGTACTTCAGGAAAACGGATCAACCTCTGAGCCTCAGTTTTTTCATCTATAAGAATGTGGGATAGCAATGATGGTCTCTCTCTCTTTTTTTTTTTTTTTTTTTTTTTGAGATGCAGTCTCGCTCTGTCACTGGGGCTGGAGTGCAGTGGTGCTATCTTGGCTTACTACAACCTTCACCTCCTGGGTTCAAGTGATTCTCCTGCCTCTGCCTCCCGAGTAGCTGGGATTACAGGCACATGCCACCACGCTTGGCTAATTTTTGTGTTTTTAGTACAAATGAGGTTTCACCATGTTGGCCAGGCTGGTCTTGAACTCCTGGCCTCAAGTCATCTGCCTACCTCAGCCTCCCAAAGTGCTGGGATTACAGGCGTGAGCCACCACGCCCAGCCAATGACTGTCTCTTGAGAGGGATGTAAGGACTTGGCACAGAACAAAGCTCAGGATCAAGTTCCTGGGGGTCTGCCATGACTTGGGCAGGGCGGGGGACGGTCAGAGGGTTGAGTCCCTTGAGACTGTGGTGGAATGGAGCGGCCGCCGGCAACCCCCACCCCTCTCCACACAGACCTGGAGGGGCTGAAGGACCCACTGACCTAGAACACAGGCGACCAGGATGACAATGCTGGGAAGGCACAAAGAGGTCGTTTCACAGACGGAAAGACAAGAGATTTCAAGTGGGAGGCAAGTGACCAAACCCACCTCCTCCCACCTTGGGCCAAAACAGAGTCAAGACAATCTCGCTGCCGCTGGGGAAGCTGGGAAGCCCACATGGCTCCTCAGTAAGGCAGCCTCAGGCCACAGAGTTCCCTGCCTCCAGGGTGATGAAAGTAACCGCACAACAACCACAGGTCCTTGGCCACCGGGCTTTTGTTCTCAACCCTGTGAGGGAGGCATTCACTGAGATGATGGGGCGAGGCCAACTTGCCCAGGGCACTTGCTTACAGTGGCAGAGACAGACCCTGTGACACAGGACTCCCTGATAACTGAGTAAGTTGTCTTGATGAGTTGGGGACAGGTCTCCCGCTTGCGTCTTGTAAACACAAGCCACCCCTGTTGGGAATCTTCACACACGAGCCCCAGGAAGCCGTGGTCTCCCTCCTAGCTGGCCTCTGGGCCGAGGGTAGCCCCACTTCGCTCCGTCTCCCTCCTCCACACCCCGGCTCCGACTGGGTCAGGCCAGGTAGACAGCAGAGCTGGCCCAGCTGTATCTTTCTGGAGGCTTGGAATCCCTGGGGACACTCTCAGGGCCACAGAAGTGCCAGAGGGCTTACAGGCTGTTAATGCAGAACCCAAGAAATCTCTGTACGCTCCCCCCACCATCTGTGCCAAGGCTCTTTTTTGTATTGGCACAGCTGAGGGAATAAGGAAAGAGGAAACCAGTCCCTTACCTAGGAAGAAGCCTCTCCTCTCCAGGAAAGGGGACATTTGGCTCATAGCTGAGGTGACTAAGGCACAGACAAGCCTCAGATGCCTCCCGGCTCCCTGCCTCAGGGGGCTGGAATGAGAGTTTGGGGTCCTTACCTCGGTGACCTCCTTAAACCCTATTGCTAAAGGCAGAGGAAAGGGCTCAGAGTCATAAAGGCAAAGGCCAGCCAGGCTGAAATGGGGCACAAGGCAGGCCGTAGGGGTGCACTGGGGCCAGCCTCCCCTTGGATGTCCCGTGGCTCACTGCCTTTGTCCCTGCGAGTGGTAGGGCGACATCTGCTGAGGATTAGGCCCAAACACAGCCTTTCCAGACCTAGCCCAGGGGCTGGAGGGGCAGGGTCACACTAGCTGCGTACCTGCTGACTCTCCACCCTGGCGCTGGCTGTAGTCAGGTGGGGGAGGCAGGGAAGAGCTCCATTCCTGAAGTGGGGCAAGGCTCTGCACTGAACATGAAGCAGAGGCCAGGAGGGGGGCCCGGTTTATACCACAGCTGGGGTAGGCAAAGTCCTGGCTGGGCCTGGGGGACACAGTCCAGCCACCTGCAGGTCCTGTCCAGGCCCCAGTTGGCAGCTGGCCAGGCAGTCAGTCCGAGGGGCCCTGGCATGCCTGACAGTCCTTCATGTCCTCCGAGTAGTCCTCGATCTGGATGGTCACGGTGTGGAAGTGGAACTTCCCCTGGAGGCGGCTGCTGGCTGTTTTCAGCACGGCCTGGGCATCTGTATTCTGAGCTGGGGGTCAAGAAGACACAGCGAGGGAAGTACCAGAAAGCTGTTTACTACTCCTGGCCCTTTGGAACCATCAGGAGCCCGAGTCTCATACCCCATTCTCAGCAGAACAGGATGGGAGACGATGAACATGGAGAAACTCCCAGATGCCACTCCTCTGCCGGGTACCCTCCCAGCCCAGACCTGGCTCATGCCTGAACGAGCTGGTAAAACATTGGTCTTAGGGCCAGGCATCTGCCACCTACTGCCATATACTAGCTGTAAAAGCCTGGGGCCGGGTGTGGTGGCTCATGCCTACATGTAATCCCAGCAATTTGGGAGGCTGAGGTGGGAGGATCACCCGAGGTTGGGAGTTCGAGACCAGCCTGACCAACATGGAGAAACCCTGTCTCTACTAAAAATGCAAAAAAAATTAGTGGGGGGCGGAGGCAGTTGGGGGTGGGGATGGTGGTGGCGTACACCTGTAAGCCCAGCTACTCAGGAGGCTGAGCCAGGAGAATCACTTGAACCCAGGAGGTGGAGGTTACAGTGAGCCAACATCTCACTACTGCACTCTAGCCTGGGCAGCAAGAGCGAAACTCCATCTCAAAAAAACAAAAGGGTAGGGGGCCTGGGCAAGTACTCTACCACCCAACCCCAGCCTCAGTTTCTTCATGGGTAAATGAGATTGTGATGATCAGATGGGATGATGCGTATCAAGTACTCAGCATGAGGCTGGGCCTGATGCATGGACACTGTGAGCATCTGGGGTCACCTGGACCCGCTGGGGATGGCACCACACCTTTGGCTGCCTGTCTCCCACCCCACCCCGAGTGTCCCAAGCACTCACCAATGGCGATGTGGACAGACAGAACAGGCTGGGCCACGGTCAGGGCCCAGATATGCAGGCTGTGCAGGGCTTCCACCCCCTCCACCGACAGCAGCAGATCACGCACAGCTGTGAAGTCCACGCCCTTGGGGGTCCCTGAGGACGGCAAGGACAGGGGCTAAAGGAAACTGCCCTCCCATGCTCCCCCACTGGTGCAGGGCTGGCTCCTGCTCCTCAAGTGTCATCCCCTCAAAGACGATCTCCTTGGTCAGCAGGTCTGAGGCTGCCTTCACCTCCCACGCTCTCCACCCTATCAGTCTGTTGCATTTCCTCTCCACCCTTAACACTGTCTGAAATTATTTGTGAATTTACTTATTGTTAGTCTCCCCCTCTAAAAATGGACACTCCATGAGGGCAGATCTGTCTCCTTTTTGCCACAGTATCCTTGGTGCCTAGAACAGTGCCTACTCCATAGTAGGTGCTCAATAAACAAATATAGATAGATAGATAGATAGATAGATAGATAGATAGATAGATAGATAGATATTGAGATGGAGTCTTGCTCTGTCGCCCAGGCTGAAGTGCAATGGCATGATCTCGACTCACTGCAACCTTCCCATCCCAGGTTCAAGCAATTCTCCTGCCTCAGCCTCCTGAGCAGCTGGGACTATAGGTGTGTGCTGACATGCCTGGCTAATTTTTGTATTTTTAGTAGAGATAGGGTTTCACTGTGTTAGCCAGGCTTGTCTCAAACTCCTGACCTCAGGTGATCTGCCTGCCTCAGCCTCCCAAAGTGCTGGGATTACAGATGTGAGCCACTGCGCCCATCCAATATATACATATATATATATATATATATATATATATATACACACATATATATATATACACACACATATATATATACACACACATATATATATACACACACACATATATATATATATATACACACACATATATATATATATATATATATTTTTTTTTTTTTTTTTTGAGACGGAGTTTCGCTCTTGTTACCCAGGCTGGAGTACAATGGCGCGATCTCAGCTCACCGCAAACTCCGCCTCCTGGGTTCAGGCAATTCTCCTGTCCCAGCCTCCTGAGTAGCTGGGATTACAGGCACACGCCACCATGCCCAGCTAATTTTTTGTATTTTTAGTAGAGATGGGGTTTCACCTTGTTGACCAGGATGGTCTCGATCTCTTGACCTCGTGATCCACCCGCCTTGGCCTCCCAAAGTGCTGGGATTACAGGCTTGAGCCACCGCGCCCGGCCCAATAAATATATTTTTTAATGGAAAGAAGGAAAGAACAGATCCTGAGAATCCTTAGACCCATCCAGGACACAATCATCATCTTCATTATTGCTTTTTTCTGAATCCGTCATATTCTTGGAGAAAAAGCTCTGACCTGTAGCCAGATAATCCTGCTAAGCCCAGGCCAGCATCCTATTCAATTTCAGACTGACCCTGACCACACAGAGGCCTAAGACCCTGGCCCAAGACCCCAGGCCTGGAGCATAAGAAAACCAAGGTGCAGGACCAGGTGTGGTGCCTCACATCTGTAATCCAGCACTTTGGGAGTCTGAAGTGAGACAATTGCTTGAGCCAAAAAGTTCAAGACCAGCCAGGGCAACATGGTGAGACCCCGCTATCTCTACAAAAAATTTAAAAGTTAGCCAGACATGGTGGCATGCACCTGTGGTCCCAACTTCTTGGGAGGCTGAGGAAGGAGGATTACTTGAGCCTGGGAGGTCAAAGCTGCAGTGAGCTGTGGTGACAATGCACTCTGGCTTGGATGACAGAGCAAGACCCTGTTTCAAAAAAAAAAAAAAAAAAAAAAAAAAAAAAGAAAAGAAAAGAAAAGAAAGGCTGGGCACGGTTGTTCATGCCTGGAATCCCAGAACTTTGGGAGGCTGAGGCAGGTGGATCATCTGAGGTCAGGAGTTCGAGACGAGTCTGGTTTTGAGAAACCCGATCTCTACTGAAATATACAAACATTAGCTGCGTATGGTGGCAGGTGCCTGTAATCCCAGCTACTCGGGAGGCTGAGGCAGGAGAATTGCTTGAACTTGGGAGGCAGAGGTTGCAGTGAGCCAAGATTGCACCATTGCACTCCAGCCTGGACAAGAAGAATGAAACTCCATCTCAAAAAAAATAAATAATAAAAGGTAATTCAGGGCAGACGAGATCATTCTCCACCACTGACAGTTCTCCAACCTCACAAAGTACAGCCATGTCCTCCAAGGGTATGGCATTGTTTGGCCCATGAGATGTAGGAAACACCTGTACTGCAGTGGATTCAGTAGCTTTGTCCAAGACTGACTGTCCTTTTCTGAGCCTCAGTCTGCCCCTCTGTATAATGGGATGCATAATCCTCACCCTCTCTGTCTTCCTGAGAGAAGGCAGCCAGAGACTCAGGAAGTGTATAGGGGAGGGCTGGAGAGCTCCAGACACTACAGATGTCACCCCAGAAGCCACCTGACAAGGCAGAGGAGGAGGCACCCTTGGGCTAGGGGGAATGGAAGGCTGGGGATGGTTCCAGGAACTGCCACACCTAAAAGCCCAGGCTTTATGTCAAGATCAGCCCTGGGCCCCAAGAGGCTGTCCGGCCTATGTGGGGGCTCCAGATCATGGCTCCCCACCCATGTGCTGGGATGCCCCTGACACACACATACCCCATTTGAGCTGATTAGAGCTTGACAGCCAAGAGCAAAAAGGGAGCTGCAAAGCCCAGGTTACCTTCCATCAACACCACGATCACATCTCTCAGGATGGTCAAGGTTGTCCCCAGGACCAGGATGGAGAAGAGGAAGGTGCAGATGGGGTCTACATACTTGTATTCTGGCTGCAGGAAGAAAGGGAGGCATCTAACACCTCTGCTTCCCTTCTCCCCTCCCACCCAGCACTGTTGGGGAGAGGAGCTCTCTCTGGTGGGTGGGCATGAGCTTCGCTTCAGCCCTGCCTCCCAGTTTTCGACTCTTTATTTCACATCTGTAAGAGCAGAAAGGACAGACCACAGTTCAGAATGAGGCAGTCCCTTCCCACCCCTCCTTCTCAAGGAGCTGAGACATGGACAGAGCAAAAAGGAATCTTAGACACCATCTGAACCGCCATCCATCCCCATTTGACAGATGGAGAAATGAGGCTTCAGTAGGGCAAGGAACTCACCCAAGATCACACAGCTAGCAAGGAGGAGAGCCAAGCTTCAGAGCAATGCCAGTGCTTGGCTCTTTCCACTATAGCTCCTTGCCTCTATGTGATGGGCACTGCCCAGGGTTTGACAACGTACAGTCATGGGTTTGAATTTGGTTCTACGCCTTACCAGCTGTGTGGCACTGTGCAAGTCAGTGCACCTTTCTGAGCTACAGAAAACACTACCACCTACTCTTCAGGTTGTTGTGAGGATCAGAAGTGCCAACACTTGGTAGGTATCGGATAAATGTTCCTTTCCTTTCCTCACCCTTTTCCTCAGAACTGGGAGGGACCTAGAATCTGAAAAGGGGCCCCTGCAGAGAGGATACCCAGATGGTCTGCACTCCTCTGCCAAACCCACCACCCTGTGTCCCCAGCTCTGACCTTGAAGTACAAAATATAAGCTGCTACTAGGACTCCCATGCTCTGCAGAAAGTCCCCGATCACATGGATGAAGGCAGCTCGGACGCTGGGATTCTCTTGCTGCTGGCTGGTGTTGTGGCTGTGCCCGTGGCCAGACTGATGAAGGGTCAACCCCATTCTATGGAAGTGGAGACAAAGCCAAGGGCTCGCTAAGGTCGCAGATGGAGGTCACCTATTAGGGCTAGCCAACTTGTAGGGCAAAAGTCTCAAGCCCCCATACCCTGTGGTCTCTCTGGCCATGTGAGAAGTCTAACCCACGTGGCCTTGGTTCAGAGAGCTACGGGAAATAGGGCTCAGCTCCAAGGCCAAGCTGAGTCTGGGCACAACAATGCCACAGTGCCAAATCTCAGAGCAGGAGAGCATTACAGAGGTCACTGTAAGTTCACTCCATCATGCCACAGATGGGGAAACTGAGGCTCTGAGCAAAGGAGATAAAGAGCCCGAAAGAGACACCCATGCTCGGTACACCATTGTCTCTAACTGAGACCAATTTCAGACTTGGGTTCTGCCCCTAGGGCCATGCACTTCTGCAACAACTAGCCTCTTCCCGCCCCACTTCGGGTATGAAGCCACCCAGGTTAGTCCCTGATATGTATCAGGGAGCGGGTAGGGTTGATTTGGATTCAGATTTACAGCTCCCAGTGTTCTTGGCCTAGGCCTAAGATAGGACCCAGGTGTTCCAGGTGCCAGAGCTCAGACCGTTAGGGAAGCTCTGTCCCTGTGCCCTATGCTGGAAAGTGGTACGGTCTCCTTCCACAAAGCAGACACAGGTATGGGTGTGAGAGGTGGGAGGAGGAGGGGAACCGGGGCCCCACTCACATGATGTTCACAGCCACAGCGCAGCCCGACGTGATCAGCATGGTCCCCCCGTTAATCTCATAGTTCCCAGAGATCAGCCGCTCCACAGCCAGGTACACCAGTACCCCGGTCACCACCCAGATGGACAGCACAGAGAGCAGGGCTCCCAGGATCTCTGGGGAAGAACCCAACCCCAGTACCCACCTCGGCATGGGCCTTGTGGCTAAGGAGGTTTCCCTCTTCCTTCAGGATCCTCCCCCCCCCACCCCCCACACAAAGTCAAGGCCTGGGTCCCACTGGGCTCTGCTGAAGGTATGGCTGGCATGGCTGCTCCTTACCCCACCACTCATATATTTGGGAATGTCAGAGCTAGAAGGAACTAATAAGTCACCATCTGGGTCCACCTTTTTTATTGTACATGTAAAGAAGCTGGCTTATTAAAATATATGCCTTTTGTCCAGCTAGTAAACTGAGGCTTCTGGGTAAGAGAGGCTGGGCCATCTCCCACAAAGAGGAAGATGACGATGCAGCCGCAAGGGAACAGAAGAGAGGTTAAAACCTGTACCTTCCAGCAGGCTTTGCCGGCCTTCCCCTCCCCCTAGAGCTGATCCACAGATTTATGTGCAGTGTTAATGCCATTGTCATTTGTTCTTGAAGCTTGGCTACTGCACTTCTTTTTTTTTTTTTGAGATGGAGGCTCGTTCTGTGGCCCAGGCTGGAGTGCAGTGGCTCACTGCAACCTCCGCCTCCTGGGTTCAAGCGATTTTCCTTTGTCAGCCTCCTGAGTAGCTGAGACTACAGGCGTGTGCTACTACGCACAGTTAATTTTTGTATTTTTAGTAGAGATGGGGTTTCACCATGTTGGCCAGGATGGTCTCGATCTCTTGACCTTGTGATCTGACCATCTTGGCCTCCCAAAGTGCTGGAATTACAGGTGTGAGCCACTGTGCCCGTCCCACTACTGCACTTCTTAGGACTTTGCTTCCTGCAGACTGAGAGCTCTTGGATGACTGAAACCAGGGCTCCCCATAAGACTGGGATTTCCCAGAGGACAGAGGCCATGGTTGATACCCTCTTCCCCCATCCCCCATCCAGATTACCCTCCTGGCCTCACTTGGGGAAGGAATGGCGGATCCACCCATTATAGCTACCTAAGAACCCCTGTTCTAACTCACCCTCTCTCTCAACCCCATCTCCAGCCAAACCGAAATCCTCACCAGCTCTCTGCCAGCCAAAGTTCATGGTCTTGGTGGCTGGCCGGGAGGACATCCAGAGGGAGAAGAGGCTGATGAGCATGCTGGCAAAGTCAGTGAGCAGGTGCGCTGCGTCAGTCATGACAGCCAAGCTGTGTGCCAGGTACCCACCTGCAGGGGCAGGGCCAGAGGGTGGAGGGTCCTTATCAGCTCCCCAGACTGTGTGTGCAGCAGGGAGACCACAGGCTCTGGAAAAAGTCACGCTGAGTTCAAGATCTCTCCACCCATGAGCTGTACAACCGTGAGCAAGCAACCTACTCTCTCCGAGCCTCAACTTCCACTCTCTGTGAAATGTGAAATGGGCCACCAACATCATAGAGGGTGGATGTGCACATCAAGTTCACATAGGGACTGGAAAGCAGAGTAGGTCCTCAGTAAATGCTCTTTCCTTCTAGGAGTTCAGGACTTCCCTTAGCTACTAGCTGTGCATGATCTTTGCAAGTTACTTAACTGAACACGCCTTGGTTTCATGGTCTGTAAAATAAGAAAATAGCATCACCCATGTAATAACACAGGTTGTTGTTAGCCCTGCATCAGATAATGTGTATACAAAGGCTTAGCATGGCGAGTGTTCAATAAGCGGGGCTATTAGTGTCAGTATTGCTGGGAATATCCAGCCTATCCATGCGCCTACTTCATTTAGTTAGCCCAAAAGTCTTACCTATGACTTCTCCAATCATGAACACCAGGCAGATGGCAGAGGCTACATAGAGCTGGCGCCGGGCCTGCCCCTTCTTGGGGTCACAGTCACTGCTAAGACCCTTCTGAGCATGGCAGTAATGATTGTTCTCTACAGCCAGCTCAATGGCCTGCAAGTCCAGACCAGGTCGGGGCAGAGGGATCCAGCCAGCCCCGTCCTGCCACAGAGATCCCGTGTATGTCCTGGCCAGAAAGGAAGAGAGGGGGCATGCTCAGCTCTGAGATGGAGCAAGGAGGGCGGACTCTGGTCCCATTTCTCTGTGAGGCCTGTGTCCCCTGGGAAAAATAGCTAAGGACGCGACAATCCCTGAGGAGTGACCAGAGGTGAGAAGCCTGTGTTCAGACGGGGATGCTAAAGGAATGGGAGTCTTGGGGTCCTGGTCCCGGGGTGTTCTCTCCTCAATTCCTTCAGAGGCCAGAGGAGGCGAAGACCCTGGGAACCGGCCAAGGGTCGTGCCGTCCAGTGGAGCACGGGGAAGGAACAGAGCGCAGGCTCTGGGAGAAGAGCAGGCCCCGCTCCAGCACACTTGGGACACAGGGCCTCTCAGGGGCGGGACTGCCTGGGGCAAAGTGCTGGGCGGGGCGGGATTCCAGGCAGGGGCACCGCCACTCACCCGCCCCCCGGGCCCCGGGGGCAGGGGGCAGGATCTGTGCTGGGCCCCAGGGGACCTTGGGCCACAGCCCTCACCTCACCCCACCCTTCCTGCGTGGCCCCAGCTCAAGCCGCCGCCAAAACGAACCACTGCTAGGATGGCAAGCGCGGAGCTGCGTCGGCTGCCGCCCAAATTCCCGCCTGTTCCCAAGCTCTCGTCGTACCGGACTGCGGGCCTGGCGTCCAACAGATGCTGCTTCTCCGTGGCCTCCATGCTGCCCCGCGCCGGGTCCCGGCAGCGCCGCAGCCGCCCGCCGAGTGCGCCCTGGAAGTTGGGCGCGGGACTCCGGGTGGCGCTCACCCGCGAGCTGCGCTTACTCCGACCCGGCCCCTGCGGTCCCCCGGCTGCCGTTGCGGCTGCTGCTCCGGCTCTGGCTCCGCGCGCCTATTGCCCCCACGTCTCAGGTCCGCCGCTGAGCCCCGCGGCCGCCGACTTTATCCGGGCCTCGCCACCCCGTGTGAAGCAGCCCGGGCGCGTCGTGTGCAAAAGCCCCCGGGGAAGGGGAGGGGTGGCCGGCTGCAAAGGGCGCCGGGCTGTGGCCCCGCGCACCCATGCCTGCGCCTTGGGGCACGCGGAGCCCACCTGCGGATCGGGAGACGCCTGCCAGCCTTCGCCCGGCGCGGCGCCAGGTGTTGCTGAGTGAGGACGAGGGGTGATGGCTGCGCTCCCTCCCCCGCGCGGGGTGGGCCGCGTCCCCACCAAAAGGTTCTCGACCTTGGTTTGTAGAAATCCTCTTTAGTGGTCCCAATGGCAGGACTGTGGCCCCTTGCCTCGGAAGAGGGTCTCCAGAGGCTACCGGGGCCACGTCTGCCCCCTCCGACCGGCGGCTGCTCTGGGCTTGATCATGTTCCCCTCTCACGCCGGAGACTACCGAGGTTGGCTTGTGTTTCTGCCCTCCTGCTAGGAGGGTCCTGGGGTGGGCTGTGCCGCCCTCAGGCTGGGGCCAGTGTCTCTTCCTACCACCGGCTGGAACTGATCACCCATCCTCGCCACTGAAGCAGCGCCAGCTCCTCTCCTGTTCGCTCTGATTAGAATCTGGAGTAACCGGCTTTATCTCCATCCGCACAGAGAACAGTGTCAACAGCAGTCACCGTCGAGGCAGAGCCAACTACCGCCACGGCTGCCACCCCTTCTCCCCTCCCCCCAGCGGCCAACCAGCAAGCCTGGGAAATGCAGGCAGAAGGTGCCACCGTGTCGATACCGCTGGGAAAAGCCCTGTCCCTCCTGGCCAGCTTGGTGCTCCACCCACTTGAAGCAGCCTCCTTATCCCGGGGTTCTTGGAGATTGGGGGGGGCCTGTGGCCCCCACGCTGGCCTCTGACAGGTGATCTCTGTGTAGAAACAAGCTGCAGGAGACCTCCCTGTCTAGTCGGTTCGTCATCCCCAGCACCCTTGGTCATTAGGACCATAGGCTTGGTGGGTGTGGGCTTTCACAGAGACAAGAGTCAGAGGCGCAGGCCTCTTGGCCACACCACTGGGGACAGGAAGAGGGTCTTTCAGTCTCTCCTCTTGTAGGAGAAAGGATGCCAGAAGTGAGGATGTGACATTCATCTGCTCTGCTTGGCTCCTCACTGAGTGCCTCTGTCTTCTCAGGACTCTGGTTTTCTTCTGGAAAACCTCAGACTTCCTGGTTTTCTTCAGGTCTACTCTGAGCAGCAGCAGGCTGGAGGTGTTACAATTCTGGTTACAGGTCCTGCATCAGACCAACCAAACCAGAATCTCTCGGTGTGAAGCCTGCATATTTCCAAGATTCAGTAGGTCTGGGGCAGGGTCTGGGAATCTGTATTTTTAAAATTCTCTGGTGCTATTGTGGCATTATTGTTCATTTTTATATATAGCGGTAATGATATTTCTTTTCTTTCTTTTTCTTTCTTTCGTTCTTTCTTTCTTTCTTTTCTTTCTTTCTTTCTTCTTTTGAGACGGAGTTTCACTCTTGTTACCCAGGCTGGAGTGCAATGGCATGATCTCGGCTCACCGCAACCTCCGCTTCCTGGGTTCAAGCAATTCTCCTGCCTCAGCCTCCCGAGTAGCTGGGACTACAGGCATGCACCACCATGCCCAGCTTTTTTTTTTTTTTTTTTTTGTATTTTTAGTAGAGACGGTGTTTCACCATGTTGACCAGGATGATCTTGATCTCTTGACCTCGTGATCCACCCGCCTTGGCCTCCCAAAGTGCTGGGATTATAGGTGTGAGCTACTGTGCCTGGCCAGCGGTTATGATTTTTTTTAAACAAAGTTTTGCTTCTGTCACCCAGGCTGGAGTGCAATGGCGTGATCTTGGCTCACTGCAACCTCCACCTCCTGGGTTCAAGTGATTCTCCTGCCTCAGCTTCCTGAGTAGCTGGGTTACAGATGCCTGCCACCACCACCACAACTAGCTAATTTTTAGTACAGACAGGGTTTCACCTGTATTTTTAGTACAGACAGGGTTTCACCATTTTGGCCAGGCCGGTCTCGAGGTTATGATTTTTTTAAAAAAAGAAAACCTTTATCGGCTGGGCGTGGTGGCTCACGTCTGTAATCCAAGCACTTTGGAGGCCAAGGTGAGCGGATCACCTGAGGTCGGTAGTTCAAGACCAGCCTGACCAACATGGTGAAACCCTGTCTTAAAAAAAAAAAAAAAAAAGAACACTGGGCGCGGTAGCTCAAGCCTGTAATCCCAGCACTTTGGGAGGCCGAGGCGGGTGGATCACAAGGTCAAGAGATCGAGACCATCCTGGTCAACATGGTGAAACCCCGTCTCTATTAAAAATACAAAAAATTAGCTGGGCATGGTGGCGCGTGCCTGTAATCCCAGCTACTTGGGAGGCTGAGGCAGGAGAATTGCCTGAACCCAGGAGGCGGAGGTTGCGGTGAGCTGAGATCGCACCATTGCACTCCAGCCTGGGTAACAAGAGCAAAAACTCCGTCTCAAAAAAAAAGAAAGAAAGAAAACTCATACTGTGTGAGCACTTTTCCATACTTGTTAGGAAAGAACAAAGAAATTAAGATTTGTATTACTTTTATTGATTATCTCTTCTAAGAAAAAAGGAACCAGGTGCAGAAGCAGAACATGAGAGTGGACATGGCTGAAGCACAGCGTCACATAGAGACATTTAAGCCCCCGGATGTCTGTGGGCCTCCCTGACAACTGTCAGGCCTACGGCAAGAGCTTGGAGGAGCGGATTTTTCTCCTAACTCCCCCGAGGAAGGAGACATCTCAGCTATTTTGAATGTCTCCTTCCCTAGCTGGCTAAACAGCGGGCGCTTTCCGAGTGCTGGCGCTGCCACACTGCAAAGGCGCCCTCCAGCAGCCCTTACATGGGCTCCGACACAGGGCTTAAAGCGTCTTGCCTTAGGGTCATTTCTTTCACAGTGTCACCCCAGGTTCACACTTCTGACCTGAGAGGCATTAGTAAAAGAATTTGGAGCAGCTATGAGTAATAACTACTATGATTATATTTCTAGTTGCTTTCTTCTTCATTATATATATGGAAATAGGCTGAGGCTTTTGGCTCCTGCTTTGGCACTTATGGGATCCCCCCAACCCACAGATCATTTCTTCCTCTTTCTTTTTTTTTTTTTTTTTTTTTTTTTTTTGAGACGGAGTTTCGCTCTTGTTACCCAGGCTGGAGTGCAATGGCACGATCTCGGCTCACCGCAACCTCCGCCTCCTGGGTTCAAGCAATTCTCCTGCCTCAGCCTCCTGAGTAGCTGGGATTACAGGCACGTGCCACCATGCCCGGCTAATGTTTTGTATTTTTAGTAGACACGGGGTTTCACCATGTTCACCAGGATGGTCTCGATCTCTTGACCTTGTGATCCACCCGCCTTGGCCTCCCAAAGTGCTGGGATTACAGGCTTGAGCCACCGCGCCCGGCCGTTTCTTCCTCTTTCTACGATCTTACAGTGATTTTAGGTTTTCTAATTCCGAAAGGCCCTCCAGAGGTGTACATACAGTTCACGGGGGTTGCCTTGCCATCCACGGTGTGGTCAGACCTTACATTCCTGTCTTTTAATGTTAGTAATATAAAGAAAAAATGAATGAAGAGTGGAGGGCAGTGGAATATTAGGAAGGCTGGCACAGAAGAGTGATGGGGTAATATTTCTCAGGGCTTCTTTGAGTGGGATTGGGGGCGCCACGGAAACCTAAAAATGAGAAAGAATTTAGACTGCTGGGAGATTTCGGGGCAAAGGTTGATATTGTGGGGTTGTTAGAAGGAGCATTTGTTGTATTGTCTGATTGGTTATTGCGTGTATACGATTTTGTAGGAATTGAGAGATTAATCGGAAAATACAGGGTCCAAGTAAGAGACAAATAGGTATTAGAGGACTAAGGATTGGAAGAAGCCATGATTCCCAGTTAGAGAGTGTCCAGCCAGTCCAGCCAGCTCCAGAGTAGCCGTTTGCCTGATTAGGGAGATTTTGGGCCCTGTCTTTTAATTTATTGATGGCATTATATACAAGGCTGGACTGGTTTACATAAAAACAACATTCTTCATTTAGGAGTAGGCAAAGACCTCCTTTTTCAGCAGTCAGTAAATCAAGACCTCTGTGGTTTTGGAGGACAGCTGCAGCTAGGGAATTTACTTGAGCCTGAAGAAGGGATAGCGATTGAGTTAATTCTGCAGTGCTAGCAGAGAAATCATTCGAGAGGCCACGGAAGGTGGCAGCTGAAGTGGTCAGGCCTGCTCTGCGTGTGCCGAGTGCAGTAGTAATTCCTAACCCAACAAGTAGGGGGATTCATGGAATGACCTGCTGGGTCCTGTTGGGACCACAAGGGGAACAGGGAGGCTTTCATCCCTGTTGGCAAACTGAATTTTGTTTTTGTTTTTGTTTTTGTTTTTTTTGAGACGGAGTTTCGCTCTTGTTACCCAGGCTGGAGTGCAATGGCACGATCTCGGCTCACCACAACCTCCGCCTCCTGGGTTCAGGCAATTCTCCTGCCTCAGCCTCCTGAGTAGCTGGGATTACAGGCACGTGCCACCATGCCCAGCTAATGTTTTGTATTTTTAGTAGACACGGGGTTTCACCATGTTGACCAGGATGGTCTCGATCTCTTGACCTCGTGATCCACCCGCCTCGGCCTCCCAAAGTGCTGGGATTACAGGCTTGAGCCACCGCGCCCGGCCCTGAATTTTGGGAGTAAGGAAAACTAGGGTACAAATGCCTGTCCGGTTGATAGGGAGGCAGATGTAACAGGAAGAACCACAGAGGGAAAAAAAGTCCTTGGCTTAGACAGAACTGGAAGTGTAAACTGAAAGTGTGAGAAAGTGCTCTGAGGGGGCTGGGGCTTTGGACCCAAATGCCAAGGGAACCAGCAAGGGCTGTGGCTGTTAAAGGTTGTAGTGGGGTTTGGTAGGGTGACTGTGTGGAGGGAGAGCTCTTGTTTTCATGGTGTATGAGAAAGCATGTGGTACCTACAAGTAACCACTCATTTTCATTAACAAGATTGGGTATGAGCAGACAGGAAGAGGGGTCTGGAGGAGAGCCTGAGGAGCAAGGCAAGGTAGCCAAGGGTGAAGTAAGAGACAGGGTAAATGTCTTCGTAGGCAAAACCTGCCATTGACGTTTTTAAGGCTGCTAGTGATAAGGGAGGGCTATTCTGTAATGCACAGTTCGGATGCTCCTGGTTTTTGGTTAATATGGGTAGCAGGGCTCTTGAGGTGAAGCGTAAAGGAACACAAAAGAGGGTGGGAGATAGAGTTACGGGGTTCAGGGTTTGTGTTAGGTAACAGAATAGTGAGTTGTGGAAGGGGGTGTGGAACATAGGAGGATATAGGGGTTTGGTATAACCAGGTGGATGGGAAGTACAATCTGATTGATGAGATGGAGGTCTTGGACTAGCCAATAGAATTTGTCTGGTTTTTAGACAGGTAGGATAGGGAAATTGTAAGGAGAGTTTGTAGGAATTATTAAAAGGCCATGTTGCAACAGATGGGTGATAATGGGCTTTAGGCCTTTTAAAGCCTGTTGTGGGATGGGGTACTGGCGCTGGGCCGGGTGAGGCTGGTTAGGTTTGAAGGGGATGATGAGGGGTGAGTAACTTGTAATGGATGGGAAGGTGGTGTCCTGCACCCTAAGGTTAAGGTAGGGGGACATAAGGGGAGCTGTTGAAGGAGGTATCGGTTTGGGGAGGAGGGAAGCAATGAGGTGTGGCTTTAGCCCAGGAATAGCGAAGGAGGCAGACAATTTTGCTAGGATATCTGG